ACCCACCTAAGCATTGAAGTTGCCAACCACCACCATGTATGTTGTTTTAGTCTGAAGAATCCTATCAAGTTCTTCTTAAAACCTTTCTGCTTCTATGTCTTCTGCAGCGGACATCGGCTACAATTATTTTCATGGTGGCCTGTTTGCCCATGCTCATCGTGAGCACTCCAAAATGAGATGATAAAATTATCCATGAAACGATGTTTCCTGCCACCTTTGGGCACACAAAAATCCAACTCCCCCGACTTTTCCTTCTGCTGCTCCCAGAATAATTTGTGATCCATCCTTCCATTTTGCCACAACTTCCTTTTTTCTTTTAGTTTCAATTATGGCAAGAATGCCAATGCAAATACGATGCAATTCATCCAGCAATATATCAACCTGCTCATTGCTAACAGGGATCACACATTAAGTGTGCCAACATATGAATTCATACAAACGGATGGTCTCAATACTGCAAGACTCTTGGCATCTTTTGCCTCCATATCCACCACTCCACTACCATCACCATCACTGCGGAAGTGAGGAGGAACTGCACAGGACTGAAGGTCATGTTATATTATCATAGTGTTCACAGTTGCTGTGGCCAAATCATCACCTGGTGACCAACCTTCTGGTGACGAACCTCTCCATACTTTGCTAGGCTGATCTTTGGATGGTGGACACATTCTGCTGGCTTAGCCTTCGAGAGCCCAGGTTCACCTCCATGCTACGATGAGGCAATGGAATAGGATTTGTGGAGTGGCCCTTCAGAAGATGAAGTTGGGAAGAGTGGCAGCTTTAGACCAAGTACATATAGAAGACCTTTGTGCAGAAGGTGATACGCTCTTAAAAGTACTTAGTGAGAGATTCTCAAAATATGTTAAAGAGGGGAGAATTCTGAAGGATTGGAAGAGATAATGAACTGTTCTTCTGCTGAAAAAAAGTGATCGACAAGTCATTCACAACTATGGACCCATCTGCCTGCTTTCTCATCTTTATAAGGTCTTTATGAGAATGATCTATGCCCGTATTGAGGGTGTCCTTGAGGAAAACATGAAAAGGGAACAGGAAGGCTTTTGTGGGGATTTTCCACAGTGGACCACATTTTTGTGGTCACACAGATGACCGAAAGGTGTAATGAGCACAAGATCCCACTATGCTTGATGTTTATCGACTTTAAAAAAGCCTTTGACTCGGTGGAACAAAATGCATCTTTAAGTGCTCTCCTTTTGCAGGGCGTCTCCCCAGTGTATGTTAGAATCACACAAGATTCCATGATGGATGCAACTATGGAAATCACTCTTTGTGATGATCCCTTGATTATTGAAGTTAAGCGAGGAGTAAGCCAGGGAGACATTTGTTCCCCAAAATTGTTTGCCAGCATCCTGGAAAATGTCCTGCAGAAGATCAAAGTGAAAGGTGGATTTCTCATTGATGGCGAGGTTCTTCAGATGCTCCTTTTCACAGATGACATCGTTCTAATTGTGTCAAAACCCGAAATATAGCAAATGACCTTCTCAATGACATCGGTAAGAACGCAAAGGAGATTGGCCTGATCATCCATACTGGAAAAACAAAGTGAATGAAAAACACATATTGTCGAGTACGTCATGCAGCTGGATGGACAGTCTGTTGAGTTAGTGGATCAATATGTATAGCTGGGACAACGAGTCCAAGGGTCTGGAGCTGAGCAGGAGGACAATGAGTTGGGCATGGAGCTGAAGAGCAGGAAGAGGTCAGGTTGGATTGCCTTTGGGATTCTGTACAGTGTTTTTGTTGATCCCAAACTTTCTACCACCGTGAAAGCCCATCTCTTTAACACCAGTTTCCTTCTGGTAATTCTGTATGGCTGTGAAACCCGGAACACGACAATTACAGAAGAATTAAAGCTGCAAACCACCCATATAGCAATGGAAAGATGCATGCTGGGTGTAAATAGACTACAGCATATTAGTTTGCATGCAAGAAGCAGTGTCAACGACATCATTCAAGATATGCATGATCGGAAAAGAAGATTGGCTGGCTATGTAGCGAGACTGAGAGACAACAAATGGATAGTGCATATAACCATTAATATTCATGAGATGTAAAAAGAACAAGAGGAAGGGCTTCAGCACATTGGGTTGTACCCTTTACGGAGGATTCATAGAAGGACATGGACAAAAACCTCACAAATCAGGAATGCGTGGAAAAATTGCGATCTGCATTGGCAGCAAGACTATCCACATCAGTGAAATCACGGATCTTCTAAGTATATATATAAGACAGCCTGTATTGTTGTTGTCCAGATACAGCCGGTCCCCGACTTACGAACGGTTACATTCCAAACACCTGGTCGTAGCTTGATTTGTTTGTAAGTTGGAAATACATGCTTTTACATACAGCTGCGCTGTTTATCAGTGCGGATGATGCGTTCGTAAGTCGGGGACCGGCTGTAATGGGGTTAATGGGAGGTTGGTTGTAAGTGCAGATGGTCGTAAGTCGATGCGTTTGTAAGTCAGGGATCGGCTGTAATGGGTTAATGGGAGGTTGGTCGTAAGTGCGGATGGTCGTAAGTCGATGCGTTTGTAAGTCGGGGACCGGCTGTATTATTAGGGTGTCTGTCGGGTCACCCTAGGCCCAACTCTCCTGAAAGTTGTGTCTCTTACCCTTGTGCTCCTAGGCCTGGTCATAGCTGGGAAGGTGCACAGCCCAGTGGTGCTGTGTGGGAAGGACCTGAGCTCAGGTAGCCGGGACTAGGCCTTAGGAGGCCTTTCCTGTCAGTGCAACACAACTCCTATGCTGGCATCCTGTGCAGCAAAAGAGGGGGAGGGGGTTGCAGTGTTCAGAGCGCCCGGTGTTGCTAATTACACGGCTGCTGCACTTCCTACCGGGTGGGGCTTCCTCTCCTCCTGAGTGACCCCCGGCTCCCTCCTCCCCCTTTTCTCTCTGCTCACAGGCAGCCCCCGCCCTTCCCGCCCGCCTGACTCCGCGCTCCAGCCCGAAGGCGGGGCGGGGCCGGGCC